TTTTGTCGATCGCACTCTTGTTCTCTTTCTCTGTCTCTCAGAGAAGAAACCTTTGCCCACCTTGAGATACGCGAGAATAGTTGGTACCGAGCGCCCGCGATTTTATTACGAAAGGATTACGTATTTCCCAGTTGGGCAAGTTTCTCGTAGAAATTTAATCGGAGCGCCGTCAATTTTGCAAAAAGTCATAAATTTTCTATAATAATATACGAAAAGACACAAATTAGACAATAAAACAAACCGTTACGCGAGAAAATCAATTTGTGTTAATAGGATAGGATAGGAAACGAACTTTTGTTGTTATATTTTGTTTAACGATGATCAAATGACGACTGTGATATTGTGAAGAGAACTCGCGGTAATATGCAGAAGTTATATATTTTGTAAATATAAACTGCCGAGACTGAGTCTTTTTTTCCAGGTTTTCATTTTTATATTTGTATAATTGCTACGGCAAAAAGATGCGCAAAGATGCCAGTTTGATCATTGTAAGTTCGATTCAATAATGAACATCTAGCGAATCTAATCAGATTTTCTCTCGAGATATCGGAATTATTGGAAATCCTAGAGTGGAGTCAGAAGCAAAACGAGGTGCCAGTCGAAGATGATGTTCAATTAATTGGGTTCGCGGCCGTAGTTATATCGGCAACGATCTTGCCTGCTTCACGCCCGATAAAAGAAACTATAAAAGCTCGAGAAAAAGCTCGGTCCGGTTTTCTCTCTCTTTCTCTCTCGTTTTTCGCATCTTGCAGATGTGACTCCATTCAAATGCGCCGCGCCGTTTATTTAGAACATGGCAGGTGCGAATAATTAAGGCCGGCTCGTAGGGCAACATTTATTTATAATTACTTGGGAAATACAACTTCACGGGAATGACGTTTAAATGTCGCGATACTGTTGTAAAGCGCGGCACGTAACATGAAATCCGATTTAAAATATTAACTGTGAAAACAACTGCAGAAAATGTGCGCGAGTGTGTTACTTGAGACAGAAAGGCGCTTTTGCAATCATCGCATTGTCGAATCGCCGGCGCTTCTCAGTACGTATTGATTTGGTAAAGCTAATTAATACACGGGTATAAATATCGCATGTATTATTTGACGCACACACGGCAAAATGAATTATTTAAAGGTCTAATGTCTCCCATCTCGTACACGTTTTATTTACAAAATCTTCAATCTCATGACATTAATGTGCTGAATATTTTAATATTCTCTAGATTTTCTATTTTTATATATATATATATATTACACGGGTTTTATTTATTGTAGTTACTTATTTATTTCGAGTGTTTTTATGTTAAATTGATACACAACGCACACAATATTTGAAACGCTGCTACTTTTTAAATAAATTTATCAAAAACAAAACTTCTTTTTTAGATTGATGAATGCAAATCGGAAAACAAAAAAAAAATTGTCGCCGTAAATCGGGAGCAAAACGTGAACGTACCGAAAGAATGGTACTTAATAATTTCACGCGAAATCTTCGCGCTCGCGAATTGACGCGACTATTTTGAAAGCTGAGAGATTGAAAGCCGTTTTGAAAGCCTAAAAACGTAACGGCAAAAGATGGTTATTGAAACGCCGGTGTTCTCTGGCAACACTCCAATTCCACAGGAAGCATCGGGACGCTTCCTGTACGTGTATACATCGTTTCACACTCCACTCGACCTAGTAATTACGTCGAGTTCGTGGATCCGACGTCCAACTGTCCCCTCTCTCTGTTTCTCGTCACGCAATGGAAACTCGCGGGATAGCTGTTGCTTCGATTCCGCGCGCTCTCTCGACGACGACGTTTCGAAACGATCGATGACGTTTGTATGTATGTATGTACTCGGCATTCGCGCTAGTAAGCCCTTTTTGTTCCCTCTTTCCTCTCTCTCTCTCTCTCTCTCTCTCTCTCTCTCTCTCTCTCTCTCTCTCTCTCTCTTTCTTTTTTTCTCTGTCTTGCTTGCCCCGAAGCGATCCCTCTCGAAATTACATTTGAGCAGTAGAAGAGAACAATGGTATAAGTGATATTCTTCTCATTTCGAGAAAACAAAAGGGTTCGCAAAAGCACTCAATGTAATCCAACTATATTCTCTTCTATAATCCTTCTTATTCTTAGGTAACAAAAAAAAAACAAGAAAAGTAAGACCTGTTTTTTCTTCGGAACAATTAATACGCGATAAAACTGTGCGAGGAATGGTTAATGTGTATAATTTTCGATATGGATACAATTCGCACAAATTATGCCGATTTATTTATCTGATTGTCTTTCGTGCTCTTTGTGCTCGAATGTATGTGTGTAGGCGAGCGGAATTATATAGCATGCGTCAATAAAATTTCGCTCTCTCGCTCTTTCTCTCCGTTAATGAAACTATCTGCGAACGTTCAAAGGGCTTTCTCCAATGTGAGTACAACGTCATAAATGTAATATTCGAGCGGAGAAGCGCCTGAGCGTAAATAATCACGCAAAATGTATGTACGTACGTATGTATTCGAAGAAATGCAACGAGTTCCGGAAGACATGTTTGCTCCTCTCATAACGAGCGCCGTTTAGTACCAGTCAATTTTGATCTTTGAATTTCTCTTATTTGTTTAACATTTCCAAAACGTTTCTACATGCGTCTCTTTGCGCGACGTTTCGCAGAAACTTCGATAAAATCTATTATTATCGAGAAAATTTAAACTCAACCAATTAAATGCTATACATGTATATGGGGAGTGAGGTTGATCAATTTCGCGACAGAAAAATGAACCAAGTAATTTTATTAAAAACTATTTAAGCATCTATTTTTTACCAAGCGAAAAATAATAGAAAACAACGGAGATTGAATGAATAAATCGTTTTTAATAAATTACTATGGTTAATTTTTCTATCACGAAATCCATCAAAACTTTCGCGCTCAACCAATATTTTTTAACATCGCGTATTTATGTGTAAGAAGCGGTGATAAGAATCTTCTAGAAGAAATACTGATAATTTCAAAAATTGTTTCAAAAAGCATTTCGGCAATTTAAGCAAAATATGCACAATGCGAAAGAAACAAAAAAGAGACATGACGGGATTGCGTAAAGGAATTTCCGCGCTTTTAACGCGGTCAAAAAAAGATGATTTAGTCTGCAAGCGCTTAAACGGGTCATGCATTATGACAGAAAAATATAATTACCGTTATCCTCGTGCGCGCAGTCCTTAAAAAGAAAGAAGATATATTAATTTATACAGTGCCAAGAGTGATTTTAAAGTGTCATTAGCACGACCGGGCCATTATAACGAAATTGTAATTATTCTGTGTCCCTTTCTTCCGCACAACACATACATACAGACACACACACATACGTACTCTCTATTCGTTTCCCGGGAAAAGCACGAGCTCGATTTTCCTCGCTCGTCTGCATCGATGATCGATACAGAATTAAAATACACAAGCTTTGAGCATATTTGCTCTCAAAAATCAGAGCGGTCGCGCCGTGAGCTAAATTCTAATTTGAATTGGATACACATATGGTGTTCGCTCGCACTTCCGTTCTAAAGTCAATTTCTCCGTAATGGAAAAAAATTGGGTTAGGCATTTACTTTTTTTTTTTTATTTTTTTTTTTTCTATTGTTGTTTAGTTCTCCAGAGTGTGGCGTGTTCGTTCGTAACAAATCTACAAAAAATTCCGTGCGATAAAATGAGATTAAATAACTAAACAAAACAAATGCGAAACACAACACGACTGAATCGCTATGGAAACACGGAAATGTAATGGTGATTTATAGTCTCGAGAATCACACGGACGTCACGCAACAACGTGATCCGACTGCGATCTGAAAATACATTATAATTTTACGCGCGGTTCGCTTTGTAATGCGTTAAGTACATTATATATATTTCTACGAACCTGACGAAGTTATCTGGTACGTGACTATCGACTCGGATAGATTTCTGAATGTTATCACGATTGATTGATATGTTTTCTTAGCGGCATGTGTGCCGGTTCTCACGTTGAAAAGTGCACGTAAACTTCCGCCTGATTTTGCGTAGCACGCGACAACCGCGCGTGAATCACGCGAGAACTTTTATGCGCATTTATACATATATCGAGGCACTACTCGCGACACAATTGTCCGCGAAAAAAATTTATAAAAGTGACTTTCATGGACTTTTGAACGGCGAATGTAAAATAGGCGGGATATATATGCGTGTGTCAGGTTAGATTCTGAAGTGCTCTGTGTTACCATTTATTTTTAGCACATCTCGAATTCCGGGGCTATGTTAATACGACACATAGCTCTTGTGCATTGTCGTATACCGACGATTTATATCTCATATACGATATTCCAGATTGGAGTAGAAGAATATTGGAGTGTATTTTGAGAGGACGTCGACAAGAAAAAAACGAGAGAGAAATGTGCGTGTTTTGCACATATTTTTCAAACTTCGGTTCGTTAAAGCAATGAAATAAATTATTTGTTTATCCTTTTCGAATATTTTTCTACTTTTCTTCACCTTTTTACAAAAGAGAAAAACAAAAAGAATTACTAGTATTGCATCCACGATTTAATGGTATTTATATTAAAATCGTATTTAAGCGCGCAACAGCATGTTTCAAAATAAATACATATGTATATATATATATATATATTGTACATGTAACAGAGGGAGAATTAAATGTTTCTGCTACATCACAGAGCAATGAGGAAGAATTCTGAATTAAACACTCCGTTGTGAATTATACACATTCCTACACAAGCAAAAACTTCGCTAGACGAACTCAACATGCGTATTTCTTTAAAAGTGAAATACTTAGAGCGTTAATTTTTACGTTATAACTTAAACAAAATTTACGAGAATCTCCGAAATAAAATAAATTCGTAAATTAAATAAATTCGTTTATTTTGAAAACTTATACCGAGTAATATGCTTAATAAGTAAAAATAAAAGTTACGGTTAGATAACGCCAAAAACACTCGCATAAAAACTAATGGATCTAATCTGTTATCTCTTATCACTGCGAATTCTTTTGTTTCAGCTCGAGAGGGCGACGGGAACCACTGACAACATAAGTTTAATCCCCAGGAATCTCTGTTGAATTACGAGACTCATCGAGATCGACCACTAGTAAAAATATATCGTAAGAATAACTCCAACTCCTGTCACACAAAAATAATGGATTTGGCACAGACTAAAATAAAAACTCAATAATATTCTATTTTTTCTCCATTAGTTTTACGCAAGAGATAATAAATCAATGATTTAATTCTTTTACAAAATCAAATATTTTTCATTTTTTTAATTTCTATCTTTTTTAAATATCACACTAGTTATTGGATCCAGATATTTAAATTTGATGTAATAAAAACGGAAAAAATATTTCATTCAAAAGACGCGAAGAGGAGCAAAAGGAGAAAGTAGGCGTTGCGTCGCGCTGCACATATCGCGGCGGCGGCGGCCTCTAATCGCTCACAGAATAAAAATCATGCGTCTCCTGACGCATACCGATATCGATCCCGCACGCAGCATCGAGGATGTATCGCTGGACAGCGATGTTGGCTCGCGCGGATTCGAGAATTGCGGCGGCAGCAGCAGCGGGTGCAGCAGCGGCAGCAACGGAATCCGCGACGACGTCGATCGCGCCAACAGCGGCCACGACCGCGGCCACGACAGTAGCAGCAGCAGTAACAGCAGCAACGATTACAGCAGCAGCGATTACAACGCCAGGAACGATTTCTGGGCATGTACGTCTTCTATCCGGCGGACGAGCTCCTGCGTATCTATGAAAATCCGATTCGGGAGTCCGTGTCGTCACTGACCGTCAATAACGACGCAGCAGTGAACAACGCAGTCAATTGCATTGAAACAAAACAGCAGCAGCAACATAATAAACTACAGCAGCAGCAGCAGCAGTTGCAACAGCAGCAACAGCAACGAAACGTCGTCGCGAACGACGTTCGTAATAAGCGCAGAAAGGAGAAAAAGCGCGAGACTAGTCAGACGGCGGCTGGCAGGAAACAAACCCACGTGCGTAACGTCGGTAGTGACGTAGTCGGTAAAAAAGAAGGACGACAGAGCGAGGAGCAGCACGCAACCGGGACTATGCAAAATAATCGTGCCTCCGGCTCCGAAGAGGCCGCCGCCAATCATCCCTTCAAAGACCTCACGCAGCCGGCCCTCAACGAGCCGCTCAAGCAGCACAATGGCATCGCGCTCAAGCTCGTGCAAACGGGTAAGGAAGAAGCATTTTCATCGCGTTTTTATACACACAATAGTCCGGCAATTACGTTCGCCGATGAAGTTTATTCAAATTTGTCTAAATTAAGTTTACTCTCCGCGACTCAAAGCGAAATCTTTTTCTCTGCGCTCATTCCCGACGATGTTTCCGCGTTATTTCCGTCCAGAAGCACTTTGAAAGTCGTTCAATTGAAATGTGGACACACTCACACACACACACACACACAGAAAGAACTTCGATCGAAACTTCTTGAATACTTCTTTTCTTTAAATCCGATATTCCATCGTTTAGAAATGCAACATTACGTGCATATACCGTTGCTCCTTTTTTTTGTTTTTTTTTTTTTTACTCTGAAAAATACGAAGGATTTTTTTTGCGATCTTTTAATACGTTTCTCGTCGTTCTTATAGTTTTTCCTTCAATGAGAAATTCAATATTAATTTTCCCGTCAAAATATAATCTCTGTTATTCCCCCACGCCGAAACAAACAGACGTCTCATTAAATAAGCAATTATTATTTACGTAACGACGGAAGAAGTAAGTACACAGGTCAGAAAAGTATAATAAGAAATCAAATTTGCAACGAATGTGCGCTTTGTAAGACCCTTTTCAGTTCTTCAGGGATAACAAGAAAGAAATACGTCCGCGAACTTAGTTTTCGGGCCACGTACGCAAGGAAGTACCCGCCTCTCGAGGGGATTATCCATCTTTTAGTTCCCTCTTTAGAGACACCAACATATCCGCCGCGTATCGTCGTGACAATGGTCATCGTCGCGCAATAATCGCCATCGAAATGGCCACCGAGAAGTCACGAAAGATGAAAAATTCTAACTTGTGGTTGACGGACGATAGCAAATGATCCATATACTTGACTTATCTTAGATCTTATAATCATATACAAGTTATATATATGCTGACAATCTCTAACTTTCTCTGCGTGAATTAGTGTGTTACGTGTCTCGACTTGGCGGAAGTTTAATAGCCGTTGAGCAAAGCTCGACGGGAGGGCGACGGGAGGAAGGAAAGCTTAAAGCTGTATCAGTGAACCAAACAAGAGAGATGACATAATGATGTATCTCTCATTACAGGAATAACGCGCCAGAGACAATCCAAGTTACGTGCGTTATCGCGTTTCGACATCTATTGTACGACAATAGCGTAAAGAAAGAGAAAAAAATATTAATTCCCGGAAATCTAATTTGTTTTTCTTATTATTAAGTAAATTGTACTTTTTTTTTTTTTAATTTTTTTGTTGTTGAGTTGATTACCAATGGCGCGATAATATCTCCCGAAACACGATGTTTCTTTTGCGAAAAAAACATTGTCGAAAAATGTAATTGCGACTTCTCGAGTGTTGTGTGTTTTGACGTTAAAGAACTTCGCAACTGGCAACTAATTATAAAATTTTGTTAATATAAAAGTTACTCTTTATTAAGCACGAAGGAATTAAGCACGAGGAATGAAGTTTTATTATCAACTTGTTTCCGAGAGAGAGAGAGAGAGAGAGAGAGAGAGAGAGAGAGAAGAGAAAGATAGAAAGAAAAAGAGGGAAACTGCTCGCCAGATATAATTTATTCTCAATCGCTTTACTAAGCACAAACGCTATTAAATTCTCGGCATTTTGTCGCGATAAGTTCGCTCAAGAAATCCATCATTAGCGGTTAAGGGGCGGTTTGTGCTTTATAATACGCGCAGGATGAAGATACGCTTTAGGATCCTCTTAATGTATCACAGATGTCCGTGTTGCTCCTGACATTGGATTAATTGAGTTTCTTGTTCTCGTTATCCACATCCGTCTGCGGAACACCTTTTCGTCTTCCAAAATAATTCGTCACAGCTGATCCTTTTTTTTTTTTTTCGTTCGACGTTTCCACTCTCGTTGACAACCGGTGCGGGATAAGAATGAAGATTAATTAGTACTTGGAGTAAGCTGTGAGAGAGAAAAAAGGGTAAGCTCAGGTCGAGCCTATTACGTCCGTCGGGCTCGAAGCTATCGGTCTTTGTCACTTGCTATCCACCTATCTGTGACCTATCGACCTCGATCTTCTCCCCCGGCCTCCCACTTGGTCGCAAAGAAACAAGTCTCTTACTCGTTCGAGGCATAAGATTCTGATAAAATCAGATTACTAGGAAGCACATCTTCGAACTTGTGAATACACAAGTACTCGAGAAAACCGCGAATCTCTCTCTCTCCGAGCGAGTCTTTATCGGGACGTAATTTATTCGTTATCGCGTGCTTTATTCACCTATAAACCATAAACTATAAACGTAAAGCAATCACGAGGAAAGATAGTGAATTTTATGTTGAGTATAACGAAAAGATGTCAACCTGCATGATGTCGCTAACTCTCAATACACACACACACACACACACATTCGCACACGTGAAAAATTTGAAAGACTGCCCGAGCGCTCGAAGATAAAAAGCTAAAAACACACTCGTTGGAAAGATATCAGAAATACAAATTCTAAAGAGAGATGTAGCTATTTTTCTGAATTACAGTTGATTTATTTGTGGAAAATACGCGGAGTCATACGCATATGGAAGTGTATTTTTCTTTTCGCGTTCTGTGTTTAAGACACTGTGTATGTGTATTTTCACAAATGGCATCTACAACCTTGATCGAACGCGCTATGTATTGACTCCGAGAATTATTCCGGTGATCTGGACATATTCCTCTCTCTCTATCTCTCTCTCTCTCTTTCTCTTTCGCGGTCGCTTCGTTTCTAAGCAGATGCACAGAATGAGTCATTCGGCGTTATCTATCCGTCCGCGTCATCCGGTCGCCGTGTAAATTCGGATATCTTCTCCCGATGAACATTGCGCGTTCTCGAGGAAACAAATTTCGCGAGAAGCTCTGTGTGTTTCTCTGTGTTGCAGGATTTTAACCCTCCTCCTCCGTCCCACGCATAAGAGCTCGTTACCGCGCGAATATAAATAGATCTTCGTCTCGTAGCGAATTTAGAGTACGTATAACTGCGGCCTCGTCAAGTCTGAACGATCTCTCGAGGCTGTCACGTGTGTTGACCTGGATGTTTATTCGGTTCACCGGCGCGGCCAAATATCGCTCTTTGCCCGTGGCTGCGCCTGGTCGGTCTGGCGTAGCATTCGCGGATGAAAATGCGATGAATTCGATGAAGCGCGGTTAATCGTCGCGTAAACAAAACCTCCCGGTACCTCCGTGTTAGCATAACCGCGACTGTGCCAAGCTTCTGTTTTTAGCTGTGGTTGTTCGAGAGTTAAAAGCCAGTCCCGTCTGGTCACACGGTGAAAATAATGATGTCTTTTTTTTATGGGAAGAAGAAATTGTAAATAAAGTAATGTAAACACATTTTCGAAATAATTTTCGTCGTATAAATTGTCGACCGTCGTCTCGGTTCGGGTAAACAATTGTTTTATTCAACGTATATTCCAAGAAATTTAGAGAGTACGCGAAAGATCCGGACTTTTGCGATATTTATTGAATATTTATTCTCTTTATCATTGTTAACTTGATTAATTAGAGCGTTTCGTTATTTGTTCATATCTGCACTCAATTGTATTTTTTTTTTAATTTATTTATTTTTTTTTTATTACTCTCAGTGACAACTTAATTACGGTTTTATCATCTCGAGTCGTTGCGTCATAAAGGACTTTAATAAAACCTTCATACAAACGAATATTGTGTTCGTCATTATAAAATATTGCAGCGTGTCGCAGTCATCTGATTGAATTTGAATTGAACGCGCGCAAAATATAAAAAAAGAACGACTGTAATTTTGCGAAAAAGAAGTCTTGCTAGTTTCTCGAAACTTCAAGTTTGTATTTTACTTGACTACAGCGAGATTGTATGTAGCGTTCAACAAATTAATCATCGGTGAAAATAAATGTTTTAACAATATTGACAAGTAAGTTCAAACGTTGCTCTACAACATCTTTATAGCTTGCGTGACTCCAAGCCAAGTTCATCGAACTCGTGGAACTTCGTATCAAGGTCGCACCCTTGGAGTCACGAAGGCTGTTGCTCGATCCGCACCATCGGACAAGTCGATCGTCGACCGTGGTCGATCCGTAAAGGTGCGTTCCGTCGGTCGTTCGCGGTCACCCTCAGAGAACTCCGCATTCTCCCTTGAAATAGATCTCGCGCGTCTGATCCTTCATCTCTAATCGAATACACAGTTGTACACAGAAAACGACGGTCATATTTTAATAAAGCAAGGAGTCTGGTTGCTACGGTAACTGCTACGAAGCGAACAGAGCACGCACACAGGCAGGGATATTGATTCACCCCACCTGAATTCAGGTCAACCCCTGACTAAACGCCGTCTCTACACAGCGCGCGCCTACTCTCCATTTCCTTCGTGTTTGTGACGTCTCGTCTTTTTTCTTCTTTTTGTAACCATCACGGGAGGAGGAAAGCTCTTGTCCTCACACGTGTAGAATGCGCGTGCTAAGCCAATACCGAGAGTCGGAATCCGTTTTTTATATAGATCGGAAAAAGAGAGAGAGAGAGAGAGAGAGAGAGAGAGAGAGAGAGAGCACAGGTATAAGAGGGTCTTTCATCCATGCCTCCGTAATGCCGCCCTTTTCGCGCGCGTCTTTCCTCCCGCACTCTCGTCGAGCGAGAAAGTTTCCGCTGAATCATTAAATATCATCGATCTATCATGGTTGCTCCCGCCGGCTGACAAATTAGACCGGATTATTATGACAATAGGTAACTTATTGCTGTGTGTATTTTTCTTAACATCGATTAATTATTCTTTCTGCTTTTTTTTTTAACTTACATTATTATTAGTTGTTTCCATCATTTTCCGGACTTAATATCCAACTTGCGTCGACTTCGAAAAGAATGCGTAAAAATTTTGCAGAGTATGAAAGAATACTTCGAGAAATATCACGTATCTGTCGATACGTACCAAATCAAACGTGAAAGTAACAGTTTCTTTGGGAAATATTCCATTACTTTGAAACGCACGATTCACGCGGTATTTTATAAACGTTTCCTATTTTCTCC